ATTGTGTACATACTATTTCTTGCTACGCTTGAATAAAATGACGTAGAGAGTACATCGTTTTGAATAAAGAATTGGCAACACAAAGCACGCTGAATAAGAACGATTTTCAAAGAGGGCTTTGGAAAAAAAAAAGTTGGACTCGCTTCACTTTGAAAAAACTACAAAAAGGTTTTGTTAGGGACTACACTTGGCAAGCTATAAAATTAAATATTATTAGACGGGATTATATTCAAGACTTAAACCCGGACCGAGTAGAATTTCCGCAAAAATAAAAATAGAATAAAGTATTACATGGAAAAAAATAGGTTTTATTAAAAGAAAAATATATTAGAAAACTCTTTGAGAGCCGCTACAGTAGATAAATTATACCAGACCCCGTAGATATAACGTAGAAAGCCTCTGGATCACGACGGTCGAGCGCCCGATCTTTTTTATTTCATTGCCTTTGATTCAACATTCTAACGGATTTGATTTTTATCTCCGCAGTATCGGTGATATGGGAATATTGCTCCCCAGATATCCATCAGGCTATTGTGGATATTATATCAACAGAAGATAGGAGACGTATAGTCAAATATACTATGAAGCACTCACATAATAAAATATGTATGCCTCATAGTGTTTTCAATAAAAGCCGTTCCACTTACATCCTTATAAGCTTGTCTAAATAGATTTCATAGGTAGCTTTATGATAAAAACTGTCCAAATTAATGATGTTGACTTACATCGATATAACACAATGGACATTTTCTATTCTATCTGTCTGACATTATTATGTGTGGTCCAGAATCAAACATTGTACACTATTGTTCACTATCTAAAGCATAAAGATTTATAACCATACTATCACTCACCAATCATAATATCTACTAACTTCTCTTAGATTACGTTAAAATTCCAGTTACTTTCTTCCAAGTTTTTGTGAATTTAACATTTCTGGAATACTGTACTTAGCCTTATCTCTCAAGTTCCATCGTTACTGAATCATTTAAGTTACCTACTTTCAATCTAGACAGAGTGATTCAAAATAGTTTCGGTCGAACCACCTGACATTATAAAACTTACAATTTTCAACATATTTAGCATCATCATCAGCCTATTGATGTCTCCACTGCTGGGGCACAGGCCTTCCCTATGGATGGAATAGGGAGATTGGGCCATGACCCACCACGCGGGCCCTGCGCCAATTGGCGGGTGCTAACGTCTGCAGATGCAGCAGGGACGAACGGCTTAACGTGCCTTTCGAAGCACGGAGGAGGTCACCCATCCAATGACCGACCACTGCGAAAGTTGCTTAACTTCAACGATCGCAGCCGAACGCGCTAACCACTTGCGCCATTGAGCTCCTCACATATTTAGTATTTGCGTCAAAATGTGGCTACAACACGCCTAATGGACTTAGCAGGACAAACAACCTTTCTATCGAGACTAAATCAACCTCTATACACTATAGAGACGCCAACTACATGTGAAGTTAAGTGATATTGATGTTTGCATGTACGGTAAATAGGAGAGCGAAGGGCTGGAATATCCTTGTTCCAAGAAATGTGTATCCAAATGGAATGATATGAAATCAATTCTCAGAGATCTCATCTAGGTACAAAAGATAGGATATTTTATTTTATTGGATGTCACAACGAATTAGGCTAAGTTATGAGCTAAGCTATAAATTAATAATACGTTACAGTAGATCAAGTACCTTCTTATGTCTTTATCATTTAATTTCAAACTTCAATTATCCTAATTTTATTCTTACTAAGGTTTCCCCTTCTTTTAATTTAATTCTTTCATTTTCTGTAAACTTATTATTTTTTTTTCTGCTTTTTTAAGGAATTTTTATTCATTATCATTCATACGAACATTGCACATGTTCAAATAGGATTAAATTAAAAACCTCAATTTTTAATAATTTATTACTGTTAATCGTTAACAAATTAACAAAGGTAGGTAAACCTCATCTTTATTGTGAATAAGGTATACAGAATTTTGTCTGGAACACTAAAACGTATCATGCCTTCCTTTCTAAACGTCAAACCAGTGAAGAGAACTATCGGATCTTTAAAGGATATAGGCAAGTAACGCAATTGTAATTACTTCACGTATTTAAAACATGCCAAAAGTGATTACAATGAGTGGATAGCTCTTCCTTCAACGCTATTTCATTTCTCCGCGGCCCTATTCTCAATTATACCGAAAATCAAACGCAATTTTTTTTAGATGAAAATATATTTAAAGAAAAGATGTCTAATTGTTCCAGATTTAATTTTAAAAACGACAGAATTGAAACAAGCGCCGGGAGCCCATGCTTTTCCACCACTTAATTTGTGCCCGCGAGTATACTCAAAATATTATTATGAAAGTAGGACATAGCGGATTTCCGTTCGAATTGGAGCGCCCACCAGGGGAAGTTACCTTACAGGAGACCACACTAAAATACCTTTTGGTGATGTTGTGTTTCTATCGGTGAGTTCCGGGGCAACACGAGGAAGAGGATTGGGTCAGGGTAGGCAATGGCCTGACTGGTATTTTGTGTAAACGTCTATAGCTGTGTCTATAGGCCGCTAATGTATATATATGGTGGCCGCTTCCTCCAGGCAGGTCATATGCTTTTTCGCCAACCTTTTAATATAAAAATTAAAAAAAACGTGTGTGCTTATGACCACACGACTGAAGTGAAACTTCTTTAGCTCCATCTGCATGTATATATATGTGTGTGTACAATATATACATGTATATACATATACATATTTCATTTACTACCTATAAGAGAAAGAGAGAGAAAATGTGCGCGTGCACTGCTTTCTCTTGCTTATATCCCCCACTCAACTCCCGTTCGCCTCGCCCGAAACACTTTTCGTAACGCTTAACGCATTCGCCAGCTTACCCCCCAAGTCAAGCGTGCGTAAAGAAGTTTCACTTCAAAAACAAAAAATTAAATTTTGACTCGCGGTTTTTTATACAATTGGAAGCACATGCGTCGTCTACTTAAATCTACGTCTGCGATATAAATCAAATGAGCGCACGGCCGCCAGCACACTGAAGCGGATTCAATTCTCACATTATTTTACAATTTATCATTGCCTCAGAATTGATAGTCGTGAATTGTTTCGCGCGGACGTGGACGGCCGCCATATTTCTTTTGCCTGCAAAGAGTTCGCGCCAACTGAATATTCTTTGAATGACAGCGGCATTCTCGGCAGAAGGCAATAATAGGAACATTATGAATTATGATTCGAAAAATGTTTCTTTCACTTTAACCCTTTTTTGTATAAACAATTTTCTAGTAACGAAAAATTTCTACAGATGTAGAAAAATTGTCTTTTTAACTTTTCCTTTTCTCGTTCTCTATTTTGTTTGAAAAAGCAGAGGAAAAACATATATTTTACTTGCACATCAATAGGAGAGTGCAAATTAAAATAATTCAAAATAGATTTTCCGTAACAAAGCTGCCACTGGTTTACGTAAATTTCATGACCACACAAAACGAGTATTAACAAAATTGCTAAAACCTTTTAGTTTATTAGCTTTGTTTAAATGATCCTTTGTATCGTAGAAGTAACCAGGTTACATAAGGTCACATAACGCCAAAACATACCTTTGTATCAAGCCCACTCGCGGTCATGTTTCCCTCGTAATTATGGAAACATTTTCGTTAAAAGGAATTTCCTCTTGGATTCCTGCTTCGGAATTCGTTGTCCTTTCTCGTATTTCCGAACTGGCTCCTTTACCTGAACACATTTTAACATTAAAGAAAAAAGGCAAAACACGTTGCTCTTTGTCATTCGAACAAGAGTTATGTTGCAAACAAGGTCCTAGTTATTCAGTTAAGAAAGACTATGGTATGTACTAAATTTTTGGATCACCAACTTAGCTCAACGTTTTTCAAACTATGAAAATTTGATAGTCATGGCTGCGTTCCATTGCTTAAGATTCGGCTAACTACAAGCAAAAAGTTTTCACTCGCTCTGATAAATAATTCAAATTTGAACATCGTAAAACGAAAATCCTTTTCTTTTTTCAATAGAAAAAATGGAAGCCACGAATTTCGCATTTAAATTTGGAACAAAAGAATCATACCCTCGTTTATCCAATCTGCGGCCAGGTGGCGTCATTAAGTTTACCCTATCAATTCCGTTTTTAATTTATCCCCAAACGTTCGAATTATGAACGAGTATAACAAAGAAAAAACAAACAGCCCTCCACATTCAGCCAATCAAAAGCTGCTTTATAAAACGAGCAGGCTCCTAAACAGGTGTTCTCCATAGAATTTCTAGTTAATGACCTTAATATACTCTATGAGGGCACTATAAAGGCCGGCACTGGGCACTGGCCTAATGGAGCTGAGCCGCTTGTTATTAGGCCATCAATCTCAGCTTATATTTAATTCCTCTATATAGAACCCTTAGGAGGGAATTTTTCCCGGAATCTGTTTTCTTGGAACCTCTTTAAAGCGTCATTATAACGAGTCGTGAAGTATCTACAGGTACAAATATCAACGATAATACTAAACTATTTATTTCTTCTTATTATCTTACTAGCGGCTTATAATCCAGGTCAAATACTATATGCGTACCAAATTTCATATAAATCCGTTCAGTGATTTTTGCGTGATTGAGTAACAAAACTACAAACATAAAAACTTTCACATTTAGAATATTAATCGTATTTATTGCCTAAACTTAAATAGATTATCGTTGCATATATATTGCCAGGTAGATGATTAACTATAAACCATTCAGCATTATTTGATATTATGAGGTTTATTTTAAATATTTTTTCCATGAGTTTAAATCAAAAGAACCAATTTCCTTGGTTCTCTTAAAATGAAAATTATGTTTCTTTTGTTCAGGACATTTCATTTGCACATAATACAAACACTTCTGTAAACAACATTTTATTGAACTGAAACGGACATGACTGAAATTATTTTTCCCAATAAAATTTCCTTTAGATAAGGAAAATTTACATTTTATTTAATCAAATTATTTCTTTGTTTACAGGTACTTTACAAATCGTTAAAAGCGAAGAAGAAGACCAGGGCAAGTTCGAGTGTGTGGCAGAAAATTCGATAGGCACAGAATTCTCCAAACCCACCTCATTATATGTAAAAGGTAAGATTTTTCTTAAACATAATGACTTTTATCAATGAACGAAGAATAATATTAGTAACTCTCAAAGTCAAAGTCTAAAGAACAATGCCCATTTTTGACCTGATCATGTATACAGATGATGTGTACGTCAAAATAAAGCTAATTTACTTATAAGTTTATTACAGTAATCCACGTGGTAAAAGAAACGCAGGAAAAAAAGATTTTTTATTATTTCAATATGTTTACTGTATGTGTAAGTTACCGTTTCCGAACACACTTCAACTATCCAGTGTTTGCAAAACGGATTTCTTTGACATATGACAGGTGTTTGTCAACCCGCTCGGCACAGAGTATGTTATTTAGAATGCTTTAGTATTTTGTTAAATTTTAAATAAGATAATGTAGGATCGCTGTAAGATGAGTTTTTATTCAATCCACTTGGTGTTGCTCAAAATAAATTGCTTATTTCACTCTTGGGACAAATTAGTCCTCAAAATGATTGTTTGGTTATTCATATCCGTTTGGCAGGTAAGAGCGTTGTCTCCAATGTTCATGTAAACATAAAGTAGGTAAATATTCTCTTTTTGTGTAATATGTTGAAAATAAATCAACAAATTGAAAATGATGCAAAAGGACAAATAAATTTAACCTAAAGAAATAATTCTCATATTTTTAATTTTCCTGCGCTTAAATCGTAAAAATGACTATTGGATATTATTTTCTTAATTTATACGTAATTTTACCAGTATACTGCGTATATTGAGTATATTGTGTATAAATATAATACATTAACTTTCATTATCAGGTTTTCAAATGTATGGAAAGTGGGCATTGTTTTTTCTTTATTCAAATTGCAAGTGTAATAGGACTCTTTTGAATCATCCATTTTTTCCCCTACCATTGTGGTTCCCCAACCCGTTACGAACATTTTTAGCTGTGGAGAAAAACAGGCGAAAAAAACTTCACAGCGTTAAATTATGTAACAATATTTACAAAATATCCTCTATGTTTTGTCTCTGTCCATTGAATAACAAATGGCATTTGAGTGATATAAACAAAACACGGCGTAACTAGTCTATGCTTATTTCTTGTTTATTAATAAGGGAGATAAGGTACAATGAAAAAAATGTCGAAAGCGTGTAAAAATGGTAAAAAATCAAATCGAAATGAAATATGCTGTCTAATAAATAAATAATAGTAGATTATATTATAAAAACGTGAATATCTCACAATTATTACCAACATTTTTTTTTCCTTATGTATTTACTAGCGGCTGCCCTTGACTTCGTCCGCGTTAAGTTTAGTTTTTTTAAAAATCCCTCAGGAAACTATTTTTTTTTTCAGGATAAAAAGTATCCTATGTTTCAATCCAGGTCATAAACTATGTGCGTACCAAATTTCATCCAAATACGTTCAGTAGTTTTGCGTGATTGAGTAACAAACATACAAACTTTCACATTTATAATATTAGTAGGATCAAGTAAGGTAAAATCTGTCGGATCTCTTTTTTAGGAATATTTAGCTCATGAAGAAGCTTATATTTCACATAAATACGTCAGAGAAACGTTGAATTAATAAAGTACATAAACATAATTTTGGCACTTTATTTGCCTATTCGTCTTTCCTAATTGTAAACTAGACAACAGTTTGTCCATATCACACTTTAAAGGAATATAAAAATTTCCAACACTCACACCAATTAGCCTAGCCCCAAAATAAGCACTGTAAGGCTTGTGTTATGGGATACTAAGCATATTTATATAGAAATACATATTAAACACCCATGACTAGAGTAAAACTTACTATTCATCACACAAACATCTGCCCCCACCGGGATTCGAACCCGGGACCTCTCGAGTCGGCGACACCATAAAACCCGGCGTACAAACCACTCGGCCACAAGGTCGTCAGATTGATGTTAGGTTGACAAATAACAAATATGGCTCAGCCAATGACTGACAGAACAGCCTTACCTAGAAACATGCAATTTTATAGGAGATGCAACGTGCAAATATTTATGGCTCGATTACATTTGGTCGTAAGCCCGTATTCGGGGTCTAGTACCCGTTGGACCCTCCTAATTGGACCTTACCTACAAAAAAGGTGCCCGTTCGACCTCCTATCAAGAACATGGTGCCCATTGGACCCTCAAAGACGTACTTACCGACACAATGGGACCTATTGGAGCTCTTAACTATTTGGCTAAATCTTTTGGAACGGTAACGTACAGTCGTGTAGTAAAGTAACATTGTAAAAGACATAAAAACACAAAGGTTGTAAATCTAAGTATTTAATCAACATATTTATAAAATTCAAAACATTAATCATCAGTAACAAACCAATATAAATATTAACATATAATATAATAATTCGGTAGCACGAAACACATTACTCGGATTCAGGCACCCGAAGCAATATTTACACTGGAATAAAAGCTGGAAATCGGTGTCGGGTAACCAAAGTAAAAACTACCCGTATAAGGGCATACTCGACTCCGTTCGTTTACCCGAATTCCATTGGCACTCGAGTTCGGGCTAACGACCAAGTGTTTTCTTCTCTTCTTCTTCTCTCTCTTCGATAGAAGAACAGCTTAAAATATTGAAATTCTGCCAAAAGACGATTAGATATAAATAAAATATAACGGTTTTACTACAAAAATACCGAGTGTGCTTATGACCACACACCACACATAAAACTTCTTTAGCTCCATCTATATGAATATATATACGTGTGTACAATATATACATGTATGTACATATATATATTTCATTTACTAGCTATAAGAGAAAAGACAGAGCGAAAGATAATGTGCGCGCGCATTGCTTTCTCTTGCTTATATCCACCACTCAACTCCCGTTCGCCTCGCCCAAACACACTTTTCGTAACACGTAACGCTTTCGCTAGCTCATCCCCCAAGTCAAGCGCGCGTAAAGAAGATTCACTTCATAAATTGACACTGTTTCAAACTATGTTAAGGTAAATTTTGTATAACGGTATTCTTAAACACGCGTTGAACGCATGACTAACTTGTCAAATTTATTTCTGACTTGTAATAACTTTTTTGTGGTAGTTATATCGTATCGTAGGGAGCTCGATGGCGCAGGTGGCTAGCGCGTTCGACTGCGATGGTTGAAGTTAAGCAACTTTCGCAGTGGTCGGTCATTGGATGGGTGACCAAAAATTTACTATCTCGAGCTCCTCCGTGCTTCGGAAGGCACGTTAAGCCGTTGGTCCCGGCTGCATTTGCAGTCGTTAGCACCCACCAATCCGCACTGGGCCCGCGTGGTGGGTCATGGCCCAATCTCCCTATTCCATCCATAGGGAAGGCATGTGCCCCAGCAGTGGGGACATTAATAGGCTGATGATGATGATGATGATATAACTATACATAGTTTAAATAGGATTACGAATATTTGTGGTTTTAAGATAATAGGATAATAAACAGGAATATATCTTGATTCCTTTGACAAACGGGTGTCGCATTGTCTTATTGCGTATTATTAGCGATTAATTACCAGTGTTTGTAGTGAAGGGCGGGCGGTTTCCTACGAGACCGCGTCAAAGAGTCCAGGCCAAGGTCGCCACGAGCTTTACCCGCGGACAAATCTAATAATTACGACGTAACGTACTCGTAAATGAAACTTTAAGTATCAATGTATTAAGGAGCTCGATGGCGTAAGTGGTTAGTGCGTTGCGTCTACGATCGTTACAGTTAAGCATCTTGCGCAATGGCCGGTCATTAGATGGGTGAGCGACAATTTTGTATCTCGAGCAGCGAGCTCCTCCGTGCTTCGTAAGGCATGGGAAGACATTGGTCTCAGCTGCATCTGCAGTCATAAGCATCCACCAATCCGCACTAGGCTCGCGTGGTGGGTTATTGCCAAATCTTCCTATTTCATCCATAGGAATGGCAAGTGCTATATGCATAAATAATAAATAAATATAAAGCTATGATTTTATTTATTTTTTAAGCATTTAACTGCTAGATGTTTAAATCTAAAGAAAAGTTTACTAGAAAAAAATCCACGCGGACCAGGCAGCGGACGGGACTCGAACCCGCACCCTTCGCTATCCGGGCGAATGCACTGACCATTATGCTACCACGGCCCTGCCAATTGTGGGTTACCTACAATGCGAAGAGATGGCGCTGCCTTGCAGCTTAAGGCTAGGAAAATTTCGACGCGGCTAATAGGGCCGTGGTAGCATAATGGTCAGTGCATTCGCCCGGATAGCGAAGGGTGCGGGTTCGAGTCCCGTCCGCTGCCTGGTCCGTGTGGATTTTTTCTAGTAAACTTTTCTTTAAATATAAAGCTTATTAAAAGTAAAATTATGTAAAATATTTGTTTAACATAAACCACCAACTCACCTTAAGTATCAACGGATACACCTGCACCTTGCACCGCGGATACGGACATAAGATCACAAATATCCGGTACATCGAGTTGAAATATAATTGTACCCAGTTCCCACATAAAATAGCTTGCATATAAAATGTTGCTCGCCGGGTAGCGGTAATATTCACACTATATTTCCGTAGATAGTGTCAGCTGTCCCGGCCGACATGTGCCGCTAACTTGCTTCGCTTAGATAAAATATCGCTAACTATATCGCTGCGCTGATGGAGTGCAGTGTGTTGATGTGTTAAAGTATTTGGAGTTTTATGAGCATTCGCTTGGAATTTGAAAGACGAACACGAATTCATAGAAAGATGCACCTAAGTACTTAGGGAAATGGCAAAATAGGTTGTATATTAGGTAGTTATTAGATTGCTACGCTATGGAACAACACGGCCGACGCGTTTAGGAGAGACGTAAGCTAGGAAAGCTGTGTAGCTTTCTCCTCTGTCGAGTTGGGCATACAAACAATACATGTGTGGATTTAGCGATATATTGTGTCATTATTCATGTGTGAGTGTCATAGTTACACTTTTGTTTTATATGCGTGTACGTTAAACTAAGTTTGTGTGCATATTCCCCTCCTCAAAAAAATCCAGAAAGATTTGAATAGTAGTATGTCGCTAT